GAAGTAAATCTTACGACCGATAAGTTTACAGTACGACAGTACGGTCCCATGCAACGTAACATCAGTGATGCATAGCCATCCTTGCCACCACTTCGCACGCGTGAAAGACCCCGGGCTCAGTTGCTTTCATGAATCTCTGAGCCCCTTTCGTCATTTTCACGAATATCTAATCCTTACATTCTGCATGCGAGGGAATGCAAGCGTGTACATAGGTGTACGTGCAAAATATAGTGTTAATGCGTTCCTCAAGGTATCGTTCCCCTCACCCTCCGAAGGGTGATACAAGGCAGCATAATAGAATAACGAGAACGTAGTAATAGACGCCGCCGTCCTGATAGAGCCGCTGAGCGCTGAGAATTTCGAAGACAATATTTCAATTCGAAGACGAGAATTCGAAGCCCCGGTCTATGCCGCAGAGCTCACCAATAGGACTGTAAAGCGGCGGTTGGGACTGTAGACTTACCTTCACGAATCTAGCTGAATTGGGGGTCGTTTTGGCGCGGTTGCCCGCCAAAACGACTTGCGAAAGGTATTCGAATGACAAGTTTACAGTCCCATGGCGGGGCAATTTACAGTCCTGCTGCCGGCCTCGATTTGAATATGCACCATGTCGTCGCATCCGCTCTCTACCCACCCCTCCCCAAGCAGGCGTCGTTCTCGACGTGGTCGGGAAACTGTTATCCACCTTGCTAGTCGCGCGAGTGTTCTCCAGCCATTATCAATCACTTAGGACCTTGCCGAGAGCCATGGGAGTCAAGGGCTTATGGCCGGTAAGTGCCCAGAGCCCCTCTGCTTACCAGTATACAACTATCTTTCTTATGACTCTAGTATCTCTCGCCGGCAGAGCAAACTGAGGACATGACGCTCCTGACCGTCCGGCACTCGCAGGCACACCCAGGCCATATACAGCCATTTCGCGTCGGAGTTGACACTAGGTGAGTGAATTTGCTATTTACTGCTACAGTCTGGTTGCCAACGGAGTCCGACAGTATATGGCTGCACGCAACACAGAACGCGATGGCTGTCGGCCATGCACAAAGCGGAGAAAACCCGGAACTCCAAGCTTTGTTCCGGAAAACGGCGCGGCTATTCTCGCTGTGCACGTCCGCCGTCTTTGTTTTTGACGGCGACGAGAGGCCTGCCCTTAAGCGCAATACAAAGGTAATACACTACGAACACTGGCTGGCGGCGGGACTGCGAGAATTGATTACCTGCTTCGGGTTCGTATGGTGCATTGTAAGTGTTTTAGTATGCACACATAAGCTTCAAGTTGGATACGGAAACTGACCCCGATAAGGCTCCCGCTGAGGCTGAAGCGCAGCTCGCCGCAATGCAGCAACAGGGACTGATCGACGCTGTCATCACGGACGACAGCGACGTTTTTGTATTTGGAGCCAAGACGGTTATAAGGACGTAAGTGTTGCTTTAAATTAATAGTACCATTGGCTGGAACTAATATTTGACTGATATCTCAGCCCCAATGTTAAGAAAGACAAGGAGAATGTCCGGATGTACTGCGACACCCGAATCCACGCAGCCATCAACCCTGCTATGACACAGGGCGGGTTCCTCCTCACAGCCCTTTTAAGCGGTGGAGACTATGATCTGGTAGGTAATCCAGGTATTTGAGTCCATTTACTCACTAACTCGGGACTGCTTAGGACGGGATCAAATCTTTTGGCTGTGCTACTGCAGCCGCTCTTGCAAAATACGGTTTCGGGGATGCCTACCTCGAGATAGCAGCCCGCCGGTTGCAGAGCACCTCGTAGCCTTCGAGACCCTGCGTGCCGAGATGAAGATGTGCTTGCGACATGACCCTTTGCACTATCTGGGGCGTCGTAGCGCCGTCCTCGCAGATGCGATTCCGGACAGCTTTCCGAATCATGCCACCTTCTTGGCCTATACACGGCCCCGTATTGACGAGAACGCAATGCTAGCTAAGCTTTGCACCACGGTAACATTCCCGAATCTTGAACGCCTCGGGCGGCTATGTGAGAGGTCCTTCTCGTGGGGCACACGAGAAGGCATCCTTGCAGCCTTTCGAGCCCAGGTGTGGCCAGGACTAGTGCGAAGATCTCTGTGGGCTCAGGCATCAGACAACCCGATCAAGGTGAGTGTTCCGAGCCCTCATGTGAACAGCTATCTAATCATAATCTACAGAGTTCAGGTTTTATAATTCCCTCCCGTTATGTATCGCAGTTCACGCTCTTGCCATCAAGTCTCCTGCCACGCCGGTTCAAGCAGGCTGGCGGCCTCCGGTTCTGCCAGGTACGAGTCGCCGTGGAAGCCTTGATGGAGGACACCGTTGCATCTCTTACGGATGAACGTGCTGGTCGACATCAAGCAAGGGCCCGCACTTCTGCCAAACGGCCTCGCGTTGCAAGCTCCACCGATCCCCTTGACATCTGGGTCCCAGCGGTGGTGATCGACATGATCCATCCCTCTGACTGTGGCCATGGGGCCGGGACCGTCCTCCATAGCCGCCTGCGGGACTCGTTACATGATGCGACGGAGGGTCTTAGTGCGAATACCCCCATCGATATCGACGCCATCTGTGACAATGCATTACCTGCTCCATCTCCTGTTATTGTTGACGACGAGCTGGAGTCTTGCGAGGGGGGATTGGGCCCTCATATCATTGGGGATGGCAGCAGCTGTTTGCCCTATGACCTAACCGGGAGTGGTAGGTGCTCACCGTATATCCGAGCGCTCTCCGATGATGAAGACCTCCCGTCAGTCTCGGAGCTCATTGCCAGTGTGTGGGGGCCGCTGCTCTAACTTGCAATGACTCTTCATGGTCTAGTATTGCTGTCTCGAGCTTCTGCAACACATGTAATATAATTTTGGTAATCTAAGCACAGTGACAGGTTCTACCACAAGCCATGCATGGATAAGCAGCTAAGCGACCGGGGTTGAAGTAATCCTCCCGCTCTGGGCTTGGATTATCATTCCAGGACAGCAAGTACTTGAACAAGGTACCGGGGTTGTCGAAGTCTTCGGCCCAACCCGCCCATGAACAGATGTTGCGGAAAGGCCACCGGAGCTCTATCGCAAGGTATTGGCATCCCCCACGACGGAACGAGTGTGTTCCGTAGGGGCGCGGGTCAACCTTGATGTCGCACATATTCTTGCGAAAGCACTCCATGAAGGAGTCGGGCGACTACAGTCTAGTCAGCATATGTCCACAGGTGTGTCTACGGACTCACCATTCCGTCCGTGCCATTGTCACTAAATCTATCGTGCCCGATCTTTTTTCGAAAGACAAAGCCGTTCATGTCGATACCGGCATTCCGACATATAATCCACCACGCCGAGAAGGCTCGAACCGGGCATAGCCAAGGCTTGTCTAGGTTCGGGTAGAGATAAAAGGGTGCAATTCCTAACGGCAAGCAGAAATGTAAGATAATCCGGATCTGAGTGCCTTCCGTGCTCACCTCCATTCTGGTGAGTCTTCCGAAAGGGTAAGTCGAGCCGAATCCGTAAGATGCCCATGGATGTCTTCTCGAATGTGACATCCATCCAGCAAATGCGCAAGGCCTCGTCGAAACGCAGAAGGCACAACATCGCCAGTGTGTATAAGAGTTGCAACATATTCCGGATCGCGTGTCCCGCCCAGTACTCCGGGTGGTCAGCCTTCCGCTTCTTCGTAACGGTACCTATCGGCTGTGAGTCAAAGCTTGTATTATATTCGTATAATTTCTTCATTGTGGCTTCATCCATGGCTCGTGCGCTTGTAACCACATCACCAGACCGTACCTGCGTGACACTCAGTGCGTTCTAGCGGCTACAAACTGCAGTACTGACCTTTCGCCGGCGTAGACTTATCATATACTGGGATACCACCACGGAAATGGACGGGTTTCCCGTCCATTTCCCTGGGACGAGGGGGTTCTCCATCCACGGCTGAGCCCCTAAGCTGTAGTCACGCCCAAACTTATGGCTAATCGCCGCGCGCATCTTCTGCGCCGTCCCGTATTTTGCGCGTACCGTGCTTGGCGGCTTTGGCTGGCCGGTAATGATGTCCATATCATCGCACCTGGGGTGAATGTTATTTAGCGGTGGTGTGGTATCAAAGTAATTACTCACTTATTCATGATCCAGAGTGCAATCCACTTCGGGACGTCGGCGGGAATGTCAGGGTAGAGCGAGTCAATATCACTCGCTTCAGAGACAAAGCCGGCGTGTGCACAGAAGCTGCCAAAATTATTCCAAAGCCTGCAGGTAGTCAGTACTGCCTGGTACACAGTATATACGAGACCTGTGGCCTCACCGACGATACTCCTTGAGTGTCTCGGTAACCACAATGTTCTCCGATGCTTTCTTGAGGTTCTGCGAGAGCACCTCATGGTCCAATTTTTGTTTCTTTGATGACTCCGGTGTTGGGCATATATACTCGTTATCGTTTGCATAATGTGTGTCGAGATCGAGGCCCGTAGCATAGGCTTCGATCTCCTCCTCTTGGTCGGCTTCAGCAGCTTGCAGAGAGATTTCGCGGGCAGAGTCAGCGAGGAGCTGCTCAGCGCCCGTCGCGATCATGACCGTAGCTAGAGTGAAGTGTGAGGGCGGTGACGTGGCCCAGAAGGGATCGGTGAATTGTGAAACAGACCACTTGCCGATCGGGAAGACGGCCCATTGCCATATGTTGGCTCCTTGTAAGCCACCGGTCCTTGAGGCTTTTGACAGTCGCTATGGTCAGAGTGCAACAGTCTGTGATACGTGAGGCCTTACAGCTACCACGGGCAGGACAAACCTTGAAGGAGGGAGAGGACTTCGACTTAGTGGAATATGAGATGTAAGTGCAACCAGTATATTCAAAATCAGAGCAATACATTGATACATACTAAAAGCTCAGCCATGAACAAGGCTCAGCTTCAAGATCTACTCGAGTCTTATGGCCTCACGAAGAGCGGGAACAAAGGAGACCTGCAAGAACGGCTGAGAGCGTTCGCTAAGGAACCGCAAGAGTTCTGGAAAGCGTAAGTAGTCGGCAATACCGGTACAGTGCCGAGATGGGACTCACAATGCAATAAGACATCTCCTACAGCCCCGCGCGGCACGCTCGCGAGGACAAAGGACAGGATCCTCCGCTAACTCCGGCTCCGCGCTGCGCATCGCGTCGACATTCGGTGCAGGGAGCAGCGAGATCACGTACCGCAGTCGTAGAGGGGTGGATCGTCCACAGCGTCAGCTGAAGGATGATGAGATCATGAGCTATGATGACTTTGTGAGTAATCTATTGGCCACCTATACAAGAAGCGGCGTACCTCGAATCTGACATCCCGGCACTTAGGCAAGACATGCTCTCGCGCTCCATCGGTCATCAGCGGATCATGCTTCTGTGCAACCTGGCGACAGCACAGTGGACGGCCTGGACAGCATGGCTTCCTCAGCCGGGACATCAATATCACATAGCTCGGATGACAACGTACCTATGCGGCGCGTCGAGCGCCAGCTCTCTCGTGCTGTGCAGAAGCTCGACGCGCTCGAGTACCGATTGAGTGAACCGGCCGCATTCGGCTGGATGTCTCAACCATCCCAACCATTCACGAGCAGTAGCTCGAGCGCGATGAATCGCCAGGCGCAGGCCGCGCAGCCAATCCCAGAATCTCAGGCTGCCACTGTGAGTGCCACTACAAGCGCGATTCATGTCCCGCCAACTGCAATGCACGCGCCGAGTGCAGTGATGGCGGGAACGAACGCCATATGGTCTCGAACATTAGCCGTTCCTCGAGAGGCAATTCCACCAGAGAACCTGGTAGTATTGGTACTCAGGGAAGGTGATGAGGTATGGTTCGATAAGACCACTGTCCCTGACCCACCAGGGAGGATCTTCTCGAACGACATCTCAAGACTCTTTCAAGAATGGAACAGCTCGTACCTGTCAAACGCGCTCGTCCTTAACGGGCGCGGTATTCCCGTCAGACTTTGGCCAGAGGTCTACAAGAGCCGGAAGGGGATTAAGACGGGTGCATGGGATACCATTAAGACAGTATGGGGTAATTGGAAGGTGCGCATCGGAGTTGTGAATGAGATCCGCATCGAAACTCACCATGTGAAGCAGTTCATTGTTGAGGAGAGGCAGCGCTTCACAACCGACGATGAGTTCTGGGCTGTATATAGGCGTCCCGACGGCACCAGATTATACTACCAACAGATCTTAGATCAGTTGCAGCAGAATCGGATGGAGCGGGACCATATCGATGCAGAAGCAGCAAGAGCTTACTTCGGCGGGGATCTTGACCACCCGGCTGCAGAGGGAGCATTTCGCTATGTCAAGAGCGGCCACTCTCGCCTCTACACGAAGGATGGCAAAGTCGCGGAGAAATGGCGGGAATGGCTAGAGCAAAGATGGGCTCATGCAGAAAATTGGCAGTTCACGCAAGGGGGGTAAAGAATTTGGGACAGAGGTTCCCGGTAATTTGTTATCATACGACCATCTAAGTACATACAGTGCACCCTTCACAGTAACCTGGTAGCCTAAATCGAACGTAATTTCACTGCAGCAACTGATGGGGAACCTGAGATGCAGGCGTGCCATGGGAAGCCATCAAGAACTGTCGCACAAGAGATAATAATGAGGAAACTAATGGTCTTATCAGCCTCAAATCTCGCCGGATCTGTCGTGCGCAGATGTCCGAGGCCGGATGAGACCCGGAAGGGGAGGCAGGGGTCCCGAGAAATGCTCGCGTGGAGGGTCGAGGCCAGCTACGCGAGTGGCGCAGCGCGGGAGAATGGACTGTAAGGGACTGTGGCGGTGCCTGACCAGGACCGTAGATCTAGCGGAGGAAGTGAGGTTCACGCGTCGCTTCGTATACGCGGGATCGCGCACGTGACCTAGGGGTAACAAACAGCAGCAAATATCTCGTATAAGGCGGTAAGGCCGCGCGAGCACAGTAGAGCCCGCTACCGTTCAATCACTGATCTCGAATTTGTATGGTTATGTTACGAGTCCTGAGGTACGAAGGACGAGTCCTTACGCGCAAAATATGCCTGCGTGCCGAACGTTGTACCCCGTGAGAACCTTTTGTGCCGAGAAGTCGTGGGAGTTATACTTTGTATTGTAGACTACACTTTTGAAACTCCGTTTTAAAGTCCGTTTGTATGTGAGACTACAAAACCACTTTTGGCGCGTTTTTGTAGTCTCTGTGACCATTGTTTGCTCATTTGCGGGCTCAATTCTTCGTCTTATCTCTAATTTATTTTCTCTAGTCTGGGGCGTATGCTATATGGGTCTACAACAATAATTTTGTGAATTTATCGATTGTGTGTCTTGTCCTAGTCTGCATGGCGGTTTTACTTTTATTGCTTATCGTGGGAATTGACTATTGTAGTGGCTTGTAGTCAGTGGCTCGGGCCGCGTCGGTTTGGATTCCTGGACTCTGATTGGCTCCTGCCTTCTATGACATAGGC